TTTTCTTCCCTTTTGCCTTTTATATGCTGTTATTATAACAAAAATAAATAATCCAATGATGTGCAATGCACAGATCTGTACAAGTAGTCATTCCAAATGAATGATCACATGTACTAGAAAGGGCAAAATCTCTGTCTTACATTATACATAAATTAGTGTTTTGCATTTATGCAGTAAAGCAAGACTGAATAATGTATTACAATAATGAACTTGTCGGGAAGACAAAAAGCTCTGGAGTAAACTCTCTCCCCTGGTATATTTGTGCCATTCTAATGGTTTCACAGTGTTTTCAGTGTGTCCTCATTTTCTCAGAAATTTGGATTTCAACTGTTTTGCGACATTTTATTAGGAAAGCACAGTTTTCTCCACATTCCCATAGGAGCTGAACTCTGAGGTTAACTAAAACTCTCCAAGTCTCTTTCTGCTAAGAGCAAAGTTATACTTTCACATTGTACCTTATTTAGGAAAGAAATGTACAAAAAACCTGGTGTTTATGAATGATGTGGGGAAAAAAGTACATTAGCACACGGTTCTGGAGATCTTTCTGGCAAAACTATTCAGCTATTTCATAATAGCTATGAAAGGCAAGTACAGTTCTTTCTTATTTAAGAAATATCCTCAAGTAGAGCTTGTTTTCTGCCTCCAGCAGCTTGTTTCCCCTCAAGCCTGTTGATAGAGTGCTGCCTATGAATATGCTGTTTTTCTTGGTGTCTGCAATACCCATGCTAACAGCCTGAAGCAAAAAGAAGCAAAGATGATGAAGGTGTTTCAAATATTCTCCCTGTTTCAAACATTTTCCCTGATGGTCAGAAAAACTGAGCAATGGAGGGATACAGCACTGCCCAATAAATGGGACAAGGTAAACACCCATGAATACAATGAGACACGTTGCTGACTTTATCTGGCACACAGACAGATGCTTCTATGATATGCTAGCATTAATCAAAAGCAGAATTATATACTTCTTTATGTCCATTCCTGATTTCACCTGCACCAAAAATATAGGGATTCTTGTTGTTCCTGCAGTACCTCTCCAAATCTTTAACAAGCTCAGCCACAACCAGCTTCCTGCCAAAATCAAATTTTTTTACCTCAAGTTTTTTATACCTCTCCTTTTTCCCTCTCTAGCCCATCAGTCTCTAACTCCCAGATGAGGATGGTGCTACACATCTATAAGCTGTATATATACAGTATGTAGCTGCTGGTTATAAAGATATAAGCTCAAGCCCTGGGTTGTAGGGTAGCCCTAAATTTAGACATTGTTCAAGAGCAGTAATGCTGTCATAAATTAATCTTAATGAAACCCTGTGCAAACATTCTCCTTTGTGTCATGTATCTATTTATAAGTAATGAGATACCTGAAAAAACCCCAACATAGATAAGTCAAACATATTTCAACTTTCTTAGTGCTCAGGCATACCTTATTGGCTAGTTACTGCAAGTTCCAGTTAGAGTCTAAAAACTGCAATGGGAATTAACTCAATGTGCATTGGTTGTTAACCTAAAAATACATGTCTCTTTTCACTCTGTATAATAATTCTAAGAGACAATTTTAAAAAATGGGATTTTATTACTATGATTTTATTGGAATTTATTATCCACATTCCGTGAACATCTTCAGAGTCACTCCTGGGTTGTTGAACCACCAATCCACATCTGTTAATTTTTTTTTGTCAACGGCTGAGGCTCCCCCAGCGCAGGGTACTCGCTGAAATCAGCACATGCAACAGAAGTGCACTGCTCGTGCCTGACTGATAGCCAGTGTACAAGCTGTGGCAAGGTAGGGCACCCTTAAACTTTCTAAACTCCCAAATCTAACAGAATTTTTACTTTAGTCTTCTGAGTATTGGTAAATCAGTATCTGTTACGGCATCTGCTGACCTGCTGCACTATCACAGTTACCCACAGCTACCCCACACCTTATGGTAAAGTTCTTATCTCCTGCCAACACAACAGTAATTCCACCTCTAGACAATTAACCCCCTGTCAGAACCATACTTGGCAGATTGAGATTTCTCAGGACTCAAAATATTTTATTAAAGGCTTCACGGTTTAAATGCTAACAGCACTAATTCTCTTCTTTGTGGAGTTCCCCCAGGGAGGGATAAAAGAGTCAATTTAGCTGACTAGCCTTTGTTTTCAGAAGCTGACGGTATCAAAAAGGGCTGTAGATAGTGGATATAATCCTGCAATATTAGATGTTTTGATGTTCAGCTCTAAGTGAAGTGGATGCCTAAGTTATTAGTATACATAATATTTGCCCCTTGAATTGAACTATGTAATTAATACAGAAATATGAACACATTAAGTTAAAAGTTAAATAGCACAACCATAAAGCGTGATAGCAATGTTGCTTTCATTAAACATCAAGAGGAACAAAAACCATATAGAGGCCCTTTGATTCTCTTCAGCTGCTGTTGTTCTCTCAGTAACTTGCAGTAGGGTATTACTAACATATATGATCTGGTACACACTGGATTTGCTATCCTTGTGTTATACACTTTAATATATTTCTATTAACATGATAAGCATCTGATTTACTTCACAGGAGCTTTAGAAATAGCAATATTGTTTGATAAATCCAAAGAATATCTAGTAGAAATTATCTCAAACTGCACCAATTTATCTTGCAATATACAGGCAAAGTCATACCATATATGCAAATGTCTTGCAAATCCCATCTGAAAACACTCTGAAAATAGAAAATTATGTTTTATTACAAGACTTTTGTAGTGTAATAAGATCACTTTCCTAACTCATTAAGAAATGTCTTATCCAACATCTTGAAATCAGCGCCTTAGAGAATTTGAACAAGGCACTGAGAGCCTCAATAGAAATCCACTTGGACACCAAACTTTGCATATTCAGTATTGAGAAGAGAAATAGATTCATGGGTGAAAGATCATTTCTCATTAAAAATGCCTGAAAGAAGAATGAACCTTTTCTGAACATCATTCATTATTCTCTAAATTTGGGGTTGGCAGCACCAACAGCCTAACTCGATTCACATCAGAACCTGAATTTCTTCACAGAAAACTAGGGAGATGTCAGTGGGACAGCAATCAGGGTTGGATAGTTTGTATTAAATTTCAGGACACAATACCTAAAAATACATGAAAATAAAAGACAAGTGAGATGGCAATTTGCCTTCCTCTAATCACCTGCTCAGTGCAGTGCAACGGGAGCATCTGCAAAACTCAACAGACTCATCTGGGCATCTTAAAGGTGCAGCTGCCCCAAGGAAAAGGGCTGGCAGAGTCCTAGATGGTCTTATTCCACTGGTATTGTCAAGGGTTTGAGAGTTTGCTTTTAACAGAATCCTTGAAAACTCAGATAATAATCAAGGGAACAAATCTAAAAATCTATCAGCTATATAAAATATTAGCCAACACCTATGTGTAAACCTAAATACAATATCTAAAATATAACACGTAAGCAGCCACCCACTACAGTGTTGTGGGGGTGAGAGCTCCAGTCAGACAGCTCTTGGAGGTGGGCAGCAGGACCGGAAGGTAACAGGCAGACAGATTGACTTGGAAGAAGAATAGAGGAGGAAGAATCTGCCTCTAATAAACCAGTTTGATGAAATCAGTACAGTAGAGTTATTGTGCCAGCAGACTCTGCTCTGACAGCAGAGTAGCTCTCACTGTAACCCAAAGACTCATGAGGAAGCCTGGGTAAGAAGAGTGATTACATCTTCCAGGGCTCTAGAGATGCTCATTTATTAAATTCCTTCCAAATATCTTGTACTAGAGCAACTTTAGAAAATTTAACGCAGTAAATAAAAAAGTTGCAGCTTTCAAATTGATTGTAATAAAAGTCAAATGCAATGACTGACTTTAAACGCACAGATGTCTCATCAGACCTCCCTTACATCTTTTAAGGTATCACCTGCTGGCCTCCACTGGCAGACTGTGCCAGAGAACAATATTTGGTCTGCTTCAGGGAACTCAGCAAAACCCATTTTCTCATTTTTGTGTTAATATCTTGTGACAAAGCAACGTTACTCTGTATGTGTGAGTGCAAACACTGGGCATGGATACACCTTACCATGAACTCCCTTCTCTTGTAATTAGCCCTTTACTAGCAACTATCTTTCCTTGGTCATGGAGCACTTGTATGTTAAAGGAAACTAGGGCTACTGAAAATCTAAGGAGATTATCTTCACATCTCTAAATACATGCAAGATAATAATATTTTTCTTGTTAGCAGAAGAATTCTTCTTGATTTCCATTTTTAATATGTATTCTTTGCCCACAGAAGGACAATTACAATCCTCCAATATAAGCAGACAGCTTTTCACAAAAAATCAGTCCCATAAATAAAACCATGCAGCAAAACAAACAGAAACATTTAGGCTGTTGCTTTCCTTCAATTAAAATAAGACAACAGCTGTAGCAACTGTGCAACAGAGAAGAGCAGAGGAAGAGAAAACACTTCGTCCATCTTGATATGACCAGTTAATTGAGGGAAGTGGAAGAGTGAAAAACATGTGGTGCACTGTGTTCATGTGCTGACTTTACAGAGTTGGCATGGAACTAATTTCAAAGTGAAAAATAGCTCTATGCAATTACTTAATCTATTCATCCTCATCTCTAAAACACCCAGAAGTGATTCTGCACGTTCTCAGTTACAGAAAACTCCCTCTAATTTCAAACATTTAGCACAGCAAAGTCATTCCTTGAGAATGGTTAGGAAATTCTTTTCAGAATGGTCTAGGAACTTCCACTGAGCAGGTTTGTGAAAGTCAAATCCAGAAGGACCTTGCATACTTGCACCTGGAAGCTTACAAAGCACCAGCCAGTATTACACAGCTGCAACCAACACTTTTAATCTTTCATTTTCAACAACACCCATTCCACAGAAAACTGCTTAGTAAAAGGGAATTTAAACAATATACAGGCTACCTCCCTTTTCAGCTCTCTACAAGGAGACTTTTAACTCACTATTTATAACTTAAGCCTATAGATATACACTGTAACACCATATAAGTTACTTACAGCTGTATACCAGGAGTAACTTCTGATCTCACACCTTCCCTAGTGGCAGCTACCGGGGATGAATCCCAGGGTGGTACATTCTGTCAGAACAAGATACAAAGATTCAACATGTCAGAGCTCAGGGATGGAATCAGGCAATTCAGTGAGAATGTGCAGCCCCAAAAGACACATAAAAACAGGAGCCATTTCCTGCTGAAGTTTAAGGACCATGAGGGGCAGAGGTGCACATCAGATAGCCAATTCTTGACTTTCTAACCTATTGTTTTCCTGTTGTTCTTTGCCTTCCTTCTCGAAGTCTATTATAATGATGTATTTTTAACCTGTTTCTTCAAGAAATGAGGCATATGTGGTTGTGTTGCCTGGCCATCTGTCAGTTTGCTATTTTCCCTCAAGCGCATTTGGAACCTGTTGAAAATTTCAGCCAATATGACAGAAGACTAAAGGTCTCAAACATAGAAATTTCTGCATATTTCATCAAAAATTAAAGCTAAAGGAAGAGGAAGACCCAGTGCATTGCTGTGTATGTGTGGCTGTCCAGGCAGGCATAGCACAGGACATGCTGCCACAACCTCCTGGCACAAGCAAGGCTGTGACAGGGAGGCTGCAGACCCAGAAGAGGAAAAGGAGGTGAGCTCTGCTCATGTGCAAATCCATCAGAAATCCATGGCTGTGCTTCCTCAGCAGGGCTCTACATCAACCAGCAGTGGCCTCCTCAGGTTTCAGCCAAAAACCAGGATACAATCCCTGAAGGATATTTTGTTCTTTTGGGTTTGTTTGTTTTTTCCCCTCCAAATAGCTTTCAATCCAACGCAAAACCAGAGGAATGGGGTGCATTAGTGGGAGGCAAGGAAAGAAGGCCAGAGGTGGTGTGACCATTTCATATGTATTGGAAATGAACACAGGGGATCAGGATGGCCAGAGGTCCAGAATTCCCAGACACCAGATTTTCCATCTAGCTCATATAACCTCTGTGTTGGATCCATAAACACTGGAGATTCTGAGTCATTCAATAGCACACAAAAATCTTATAACCATCTTTAGTTACTGCATGCTAGTTTTCCGGGTGGGAACATTGGAACTTCCATACTGGGTCTGAGCAAATGTCAGTTTTGTCTAACTGTCTCCAGCTGTGACCAGGAAGGAAGGGGTATAAAACAGTGATACTGCCATTGATACCTGCACTCACAGCTCCCAGGGATCCACAAATTAGCTTTTCCTGAGTCAAACAGGATTTGCATCCAAACAATCCTGTTTAGTTGTCATTGCTGTGTCTATCCTCTGGTAAGCTGCCTAGTTCTTTTTTACACCTATTTACAGTTCTGTAATCCAAAACCTCCAGTAATAATGAATTTTGCCACTGAGTATGTTCCCAAAAAAAAAAAGTCATCTTTTAATTTCTTTAGATCTGCCTAACATCTAAAGAAGTTTCCACTATTCTGTTATGGGAAACAATATATATTTGTTATCTACCTGCCAGCTTCACATTATTTATTTTATAGATACCCATCATATTTTCCCTCAATCATCTCCCTTTCTGGATGAATGAATCCCAATGCATTTGGCATCTCCTCTCTGAGAAACCTTTTAGTGCTTTTGACCATAATTGACAATTTGTGTTCCCCTTCTCCCTACATTTCCAGTGTTGGGTGTGTCCTCCCTGAGAGGGCAGGGCCAGAACTGTGCATTCAACATGTGGACAAATGGGGAACAAGTGATGGTGTAACAATGTTTATAGTGTTGTTCTCATTTCCTTTACTAATAATGCCTCAGATTCTATTTTATTGCTAAGAAATGGTCTAATTCTTTAGAGATGCCCATAATGACTCCAAGATCTCTTCCCTGAGCAATAGTAGAGGATTTAGAGTCCATTATTGTGTATCTGTTTATTTTTCCCATGTGCATTCATTTTTGAAACACTAAATTTTATATAATTTTTCTTTTAGTCACTATTAGATTTCTGTTATTATTTCCATCTTTCTTCTACTCCTCTATTTTTGTTAGCATCTCCATCTTCTAAATCTTCTGTATTTTAAATTCAAAAGTACATAACCTTATCTTTATGTCCTTGTGACTTGCACCTTCAAGTTTTACCAGCAACATTGAAGTCGATCATAATAGTGAAACTAGTTTGACATTATCAAGGAAAACATTAAATTAGCTGTAATAAGATCTATTGAAAGCCAAATTAATTGTGTAAACTTTATTATTTAACAATTCAGTAACACTGTCAGTGCTTTCATCTACATCCTTCTGCAGCTCTTGGTGAGGGATTTTGTGTACCTCGTATATATATGTATATATATCGTGTCTACGTCTTTACATAAGGGATATTTTGAAAAGATTTCCTGAAGTCTTTTGCTCACTCTCAGCACCGTGTAGAATTATCAACACTATTTGCAATGTGATTAGGGAGTCTTAAATACTGCTTTGTGCAATGGAGACACACTCTGACAATATTTGAGTGGCTGATGAGTCATGCAGAGTTTGGTTTCAGGAAGGCAGGACTGCATAACAAAGTGTGAGGCTGCAGCTCATCGCCAGGGCAGTCACACACCGCCTCCCTCATTGGAAATGCAGTCACATGCCATTATGCTACTTTTTATACAATATGATAGCCAACTATTCTTAGCAGGCATTGTGTTGAATGCAAGTGGAATAAAGTACAGCGTGACTGCCCCTTGTGCTATTTTAGACAAATACAGTGAAAGCCAAAGTGTTTTCACAGACGCTGTGCTGAGGCAGAAGGGTTTCACATTAGCAATCCTAAGTACTCAACCTAAGCTGCGTAGTCACTTAACAACTGCAACAACCAGAGGTGTGCTATTCAGTGATGGACAATTTACCAACAAAAAGAGAGAAAAAAAATATTTTTCAGCTCCTCATTGCATTTTTTTAGTGTGTGAGTTTTTGCTTCTGTGTATTGCAAGAGAGCTGACCACACTAATATGGTTGAAAGAATTCTGCGAAGTTGCAGCACATCATAGGAACAAATTTAACTGAAGACAGGATATTTTAAAGGACTGGAAACATACCATCATCACCAATTAAAAAAAAAACCCAAACCAACACTGTATTTCTTAAAAGCAAATACTGATTGCCCGCTCTGCTGCAGTTATGGCTGAAAATACTACAAGGAATTTGGGGGAGAAGAAAAAACCCTTCTTTACTTCAATCTTAACAGTAATAAAAAGGTAGCATACATCAGAATCCTTGTCTTTCCAGCACTTTAATAGAATACCCACTTCCTTTATTTCTGAGGAGCTCCAATATCCAGCTGCAGGGGAAAAAATATATGGATCTGGCACTTTGTGAAGATTACAGAACTTGTATCTGTTTACCCAGTTATCAATTTAAAAGAAGTGATAGGGCTAGAAGGCTCCTTGCCTCAAAGCAGGTTCAAATGCCTTTATATCACCGCTGACAGATGCCTGTCTATGTCCAGAGATGAATATGGCATTAACTCTTAAGGAAATTTATTTCAGTGCTAACATTTAAAATGGTTCTACAGAAATATTTCTGAGTCAAAAAAAAAAAAATAGGCAGAGAAAGCTGGCAGGAGTAGAACATACAGTTTAGGATAACAGTTCTCCCTAGAGGAAAGTTAGAACAGCTCTGCATCCTCCAACAAAGCACAGGATAAAAATCAACAAAATGCAAGTAGGAAGCATCAAACAGAAGTTGAACAAAGTCCTGAATTTGCACCTAAAAATAAGCAATAAGAACAAATATATATACAGGCTGTTTACTAAAGAAAGTTTAGAATAAATCTTGATACATAAATAAAATATACCAAGAAGGAACAGAATCACTACAAAGTGAAATTCCAGTATGGGTAACAAAATAGCAGAATGAAGTTTATATTACTGACTTATGAGAAAGGTGACAATGACTGTGACAATCACATATACTGAGTAGGTGTCAATGTAGGTGACACTGAGACAAAATCCTTCCATACCATAAACATTTGCTTTTTGGAGAAATTTGTTTAGGTACCAAAAGAAAAAAACCTAACTCTTGACTTCACAGTGACGGATGCCTGTGACCTCATTCAGAATATTGCTCTCAAGGCAAGTGTATCTGCACACAACCAAATCATAAAATAATGAGCAAAGGAAACCACAGAGGAAGGAACAAAGCTGTTATAACAAAAACGAGCAAACACAGTTCTCATACAGGTAAGTCATGGCATTGCAACTTCTTAGGAGTTCTCTGTAGGGCAAGGACAAGGCAGTTTAGATGCTGTGCTTGAATTTCCTAAAGGCTTTCAACAAGATTTCTTAACCAAAAGTTGATAAAATGCCATGAGAATGTCTTCTTATGGATTAACATCAGATTAAAAGGACAGAAAAGTAAAGTAGGAATAAATAGTAGGACTTCAAATGAAGCCTCTGGCCTGAGGCTTATGCTATTTAGTATTTTTGCAAATGATCTGGAAAAGGGGTGGCAGGGATAGCAACATTTGCTTCTGGTGGCAAATTATTTAGAGTAGTAAAAAGGCAAGCAAACTGCAAAGGCTTGCATAGGAATGTCGTGATTCAGAATAATTAGGCAATAAAAGTACAGAAAAAAATTCAATGTAAATAAATGTAAAGTAACACACATGGAAAAGTAACTTTAACTGTACATATTCAGTGACTGAGTTTAAATTAGCTATTAACTTTCAGGAAAGCTATCTCAGAGCTATAACAGATAGTACCATGAAAACATCATCTTGGTACTCAGAATCACTTAAAAAGGCAAATAAAGCATTAGGAATTTTTAGAAAGGAAGAGAGAATAAGAGAGAAAACATGATTATGCCATTTTATAACTCCACAGTGAGCCTGCTGCTGCATTTTCCCCATCTTGGAAAGCACGAAAGACCAAAGAAGGTTCAGAGAACTGCAGCAACAGTGATCAAAACTCTTCAGCACTCAGAGACAACAACAGAGAGGAAATTCTGACACTTCAGGATTCCCATAAAGTGGAATTCTTAGGATAGAGGAGAAATTCACTTCTGAAATGCCAGCATATGTTGATTCTGAAACACAATATGTTTCTTGGGACTCTGACAGCTGGT